ATAATACCGACTATGCGGCCTTAAACTCCCATATCCTCAAACCCATCCTCTAAATTAAATCACATAACTGCGGTCCTCGCAACAGCCTGCATTATGAGAAACATTATCTGGCTGAAATGAGGCTAATTTATGAAAAAAGGTGTAAATATCGCCTCCAAATAAACTCATTCAGAGTTTGAGATTAAATTATATATTAAATCATTTTTATCTGCCCATTTATCCATTGTAATGCAAATTATTCTCTTGTAAAGATCACATGCTAATCGCAACTTTCATGTCCGAGTTAGCTTAGCCTTTATGTTTTGCCTATATTTGTGTTATCCACTTTATGTATATAGCTTCCATTTTATATCTTAAGTTATCTTCAACGAAAGATTTGAGTTAAGAAAGACATTTTTGCCCACAGTGACCTATGTCTGAGTATATGACAGTAAGCTTTAAACTTACAAGATAACTCTTTTCCTGTACTTTGAGACCCCTAGCCGAGTTGACTTGATCTAAAAACACCATAAACAGCATAATTGATAATTTCGAACATTACTTTCGCAAGTAGCTATCATTAGTCAACTCAAGTAATGCCATTTCTGACAGTAGAGTAATATTGTAAATAATAAAGTCATTATGAATTTACTATTTTTAAATGAATACGATAAAATGACTATTGGCTAGGTCAAATGACGTTAATTACGCATAAATCATCATCCTCCTCAGCCTCATAGGCAGTAAATAGGCCTTAACCTGAGTGTTATTTTGTCCATCGTACTGATAAAGTACTTCCTTACTGCTGTAAAGGTTCAATCACTTTCGGCAACCTGGGAATTGCAATTCTGGAACCCTCAATGCCGTTGTGGATGCGAGAGAAGATGAACGCCCAAGGCTGGGAGCAGGGAGTGGCATTTTTGCCCTGTTCCATCTCCTACCTGATCGGCACAAACATCTTCGGACCTCTGGCGCAACGGTGTGGACGATGGCTGAGCGCTGGTGCCGGGATGGTTATATGTGGCATCTGCCTGATTGCCGTGAGTTCGATAGTGACGGAGGATGAGAATCCTGGAAGAGGATGTGAAAGAGACAGTGGAAGAATGGGATGTTGTGTATTTTCGAATAGTCGGTTTGGATGAGTCTGTTCAGTTCATAGTCTTCTGCATTGTTCTTCTGACTAATATCCACAGC